CCGCTAACTACGTCCTCTATCACTTTAAACTAAAGCCTGAGACCGTCACCTCGTGTACCAACCTGTTGGTGCACTTGGTTGACCTCGTCGAAACCGATGGTCAGACACACACACACATGCCTTACCTACTGGGCTTACGTGCATGCCTAGAGCCATATGTGACAACTAAAGTGACCTGTGTTGTTACATACACTTACAACGCTGACTTAAATCAGCACTAAGGCTGTAACCTAATTCTCCGGATGTATTGACGCCCCCTCTGTCTATAGCTGTCAGCCTATCTTACGCTGGAGTGTTGCACTCCAGCTCTAAAGCTTGTACTTAATCTTCCTTAAGTTAGCGCTAAGGTTTGTGTCTAGTCTTCCAGGGCGTCGGCTCCCCCATTATCGACCGTCTGCCGAATCACCCGCTCGATCATGACATTTAGTCAGGTAGTAGGTCATCTACACTCATAGTAGTGAACAAGGCGAGGCATATTTGTAGACGACGTTCTACATCGCGTAACCCCCCGACTTCTGGTCTTGCAGGCATAGAGTCCAGCTGCTGGAGAACGCTCTCGAGTACTCCCCCCACGCGCGCCAGTTGAAGGCGCGTTTTCGACCCACCTCCGGCCGTCGTCGACCGCCAAAAGAGCCCACAGCAGATGTCCATGTCGTCTATACCGACGATAACGAGCCAAAGTTTACCATTTCGGTGAGTTCTCTCCCCCCCCCTCCACCTTTTGTTTCATCCTGACAATTTATTCGCCATGCTGGTCTGTGTAACATTTAGCTGGAAGTAATATATTTTTATTTAAAAAAAAACTTCTAAACTTCTATATCTTAATTTCCTATGAACCATGCGGTTTTTTCCTCATACCGTGGAGAAGTGTGTGCTTTTCCTTAGCCAGAACATATACAGCGTGTAGTTTTGAAACCTTGAATACGAGTGTAACGGCTGGTAGGATTCAAACTTATTCCACATTCGAAAGCGTATTTTTAAAGTCGAGGGATTTCCTTTGTTCAAGTATAGAATAGGACTGTCTTTAGAGGTTCTATTTGCCCTTGACTTGTAATAATAACCTACTTTTACATTTTGCAGTAGCCCGACTTTCCATTTTTTTTCATTAAATTCCGCTAATATAAGGTCAAATTTCCCTCAATAGGCATCAGTTGCCTGAGCAGCAGGAGTTTACGTTGATGGAGTTGATTACATTTAGCACATTAGAACAACTATGAATGGCTTTAATTTTAATATTCTTTGGTCACGTTCGACACAATTGCATATTCGTTTGCATTCGTTAACCAAGAATTAAGTGTTAAACTGCCAATTCCGTAAGATATTTGGGCGGGGGAATAAATATTTAGGCGGCCCTACGAGACAGATTTGCCAAGTATTGCATTTTAAGAAGGCTTAATTTGCTACCAAACGAGCTTTTTACAGGCAGTCAGAGAGAAGCTCATTCCAAAGCTGACATCCTGACGCAACTGAAGTATTTTGGGATGATACTGTACGATGATCAGTATTACAACGCTAATTATGCAATTCATTCTAATCGAAAATATACTGCAGAACTTCGGTCGTTATTTCATGAGATAGGGAGTCTAGTGTCAGTCAGTGTTCAACCATCGATTTCGATGAAGTCCACCAAGTGCACCAACAGGTTGTTATAGAAGGTGCAGCCTCAGGGGTTAGCTTTAAAGTGATAGAGTACGTAGTTAGCGGCTCCGCACTCTTCACCTTCTCTCGGAGCCTCGGGGGCTAAACA